TTTCTGTAGTAAAGTAATTTGGTACGGTGGTTGCTTGAAAGTTATGTATTTATATTGTATATGTGCTGTTATATTGTTTTGGCTCTAGGTTAGTATTAAAAAGTGGGTATGTAGACTCAACACTTTTGCTTGTGCATTCTGGAGGGGTATGGCTGTTTCTCAGGCTATATTTATTGAGTTACATCTTGCATTCAAATATTTTTGCTGTCAGGGATTTTGGATTTTGTTGGCATTTAAAGTGTTAACTTTAAAAAAAGAATGGTCCTGCATAAGCATTATTTGTTGCTTATATTATGATCGTCGCACTCCTGAGGATAATAACACCCTTCCTGGTCTGAATTCGACTAAGGCTTTGCTAATTTCAGATCCAGCAGCTTATGAGAGTCTCTAATCACTCCAAATTGGGAATGGCTCAATCCATCCAAAAACATGGCTTTTTACTACCAGTGTCTGAATGTGAATTCAATTTTACATCATGGGTTGAAGAACTTAACTCCACACATAATGCTTTACCTGGTCATCGCCCTTCGAGGGCTACAGGTGCAGCAATCTCAACAGCGGTTGCTCTTCTAGAGGTTTGCTCAGTTAATGCTGGTGGTCGTGTAATGGTGTTCACATCTGGACCAGCAACTATTGGTCCTGGAATGATTGCAGAGACTGATTTAAGTAAATCTATAAGGACACACCGAGATCTTGTAAATGGCAATGCTCCCTTCACTGATAGAGCTCGTGGTTTCTACAAGCAACTGGCTCATAGATTGGTCGATGGTTCATTTGTTCTTGATCTGTTTGCTTGCTCTCTTGATCAGGTTGGAACTGCTGAGATAAGATATCCGATTGAAAGCTCTGGTGGTTTTTTGGTGCTTGCAGATTCATTCGAGTCAGAGCAGTTCAGGAAATGTTTAAGGCACATCTTTAAACGTGAAGGTGCAGACCATCTTAATATGAACTTTGATGCAACCATTGAGATTGTGACCACCAAGGAAGTTAAGATATGTGGGGCACTGGGACCTTGCATGTCTCTTAGAAAAAAGAACAACTCAGTGAGCGAAAAGGAAATTGGCCATGGTGGAACCAATACGTGGAAGATGAGCACACTCATGAGCAAGACATGCATCGCTTTCATCTTCCAAGTTAGCACTGACAATGTTGAGCCACCACCTGTCCTCTTTATTCAGTTCATGACACGCTATCGTCATGGTAATGGTGGATTTCGCCTAAGAGTGACCACTGCTGCTAGAAGATGGGTTAAGCCCCACTCGCCAGAGCTTACTGCAGGGTTTGATCAAGAGGCTGCTGCTGCTGTCATGGCCAGACTTGCAGTCCATAGGGCTGAGGAATACCATGCTCGGGATGTCATCAGATGGCTGGATAAAATGCTTATTCGTTTCACAGCTAAATTCGGGGATTATGTGCCAGAAGATCCATCCACATTTCGGTTGTCATCTAACTTTTCCCTCTTTCCACAGTTCATATATTATTTACGTAGATCACAATTCATTGATGTCTTTAATAGCACCCCAGATGAGACCGCCTTCTTCAGGCTGATGCTGAATCGGGAAGGGGTGGTCGGTTCACTTATCATGATCCAGCCTACCCTATTCCAGTACTCGTTTGATGGACCACCCATTCCTGTACTACTTGATGTTAGCTCAATCTCTCCAGATGTTATTTTGCTCTTCGATTCTTATTTCCACATAGTGATTCACTATGGATCAAAGATTGCCCAGTGGAGGAAGCTTGGGTATGACAAGGACCCAAACCATGAGAACTTGAGGAAGCTGCTAGAGGCACCAGAGATTGATGCTGAGGCGCTCATAGCCGATCGCATTCCTGTGCCAAAGCTAGTTAAGTGTGATCAGCATGGGAGCCAGGCAAGGTTCCTACTGGCAAGGCTAAATCCCTCTGTGACCCAGAAGACTCTGCTTACAGATGGCTCCGAAGTTATCTTCACAGATGATGTGAGCTTGCAAGTGTTTATAGAGCACTTACAAGAGCTAGCTGTGCAGGGTTGACTACCTCTTGTTGTATATAAGTCCTTTGTGGGGTTTGGTGGGATTAATTTTTCTAGGTTTCCCACTCCTGTTGTAATTTTGTACAAAAATCTTGTCACACTGCTGCTTTCTTGCTGGTTATGATTGTGAAGGGAAAAATGTAAGGCTGAAATTTTGGGTCTTCAGTTTTTGCCATTGATTTTAAAATTGGTAGTGAAATGGAAGCTGGTGAATGGGGGGTTTTGGTTGCAAAGTTAGAAATCCTATATGGAGTATTTATGGAGAAGGCAAGCATTGAATATAACAAAAATGTGTCTTCACATGTGACTATGTTGACATATGTTCAGTATCCACATCTGCTGCTTTTGCTGTCTAATTTAGCATCACAGAAGTTCAAGTGATACCCATGCAAGGTTGAATCTTTTGGTTCAAAGCTTTTTCAATTGAGTTAAAAATGGCTAGAAAAAAAGTTGATGCTCTTTGGAAATTATAAGCTATCAAAAGAAAGAAAAGAGGAAAGCAGGAAATGATGGAGAAATTGAAGGTATGAAGTTATGCATTACTGCAGATTCCTTTGATACCTGAAGCTGTCGTTGATCTCTTCCTGCCAAAGAATATGACCATATTGCACAACTAGAAAATACATCAAGCATATCATTTCAGGTTAAAAAATCCATTTCTCACTGATTGAAGAATATTCTGCACTCTAGAATGTTCACTTCCTTGGGTCAATGTAAATGTCACTTCCTCTTCTGTATTGCAAAAAAATAAACCTATATACAATTGCTATTTGAGGCTGAAGCACTCACTATTTCCATCATCAGGGATGCAAGAGCTATCTAGCAGATTGAGCTGCAAAGCTGATACCTGAAGGCTTTGATCTATGTCGACAACCATGATACAAGTTTCACTTGATTAGTTCTCTCTCTCTCTCTCTCTCCAAAGAACTTAAATTAATAGAGTATGCCACCTTGCTGTTAAAAGAAAATGGAAAATAGAGGCTGGACTTCCGACTCATGAAACTCTTCCAACCGAAGACTCTTCCTTATGGCAGCAGAACAGAAATCTTGTGTGATTTGGACACAGCACCAATTGCAGCTGTCGAGCAGCTTTTTCTTGTTCTCACAGGTCCCATCAGGGTGGTTGCTGCAGCTGCAGAGAGCCTGCTGGTACGCAGGATCCCTTGCTCATTGTTCTTCTCCCCTAATTGTCTTTTCCCTACAGCTAACAAGCCGACACCAGTTCATCGGAATACTACACCGAGGGATCCTTTCCTTCTCTCTGACACTTGAGCAGTCACATGTCCTGCTTTGTGGCGAGGGTTGAAAGCAGGACAAAGGCACAAGAACCTTGTTGCTGGTGCAAGAATAAAGGTGCACTTCAAGAACTCTATACCCTGCGCCTCTTTTGTGTGTTCTAAGGTGTTGATAAATACTTCTTTAGCAGTCCCAATAGGAGTAAAGCTTTTGGGAGGATTATAATTTTAAGTATATTTTCTTCTTTTTGTAAATTAATTTTTTTTATTATTTAAATATTTTATATTAAAATAAATACTTTAGATGCTTCTAAGTTACTCTCTCTCTCTCACATCAGAACAAAACAATTTATGCCAGGAATTGTTGGCAAACACAGCATCCCAAGTGGGGTGGTGGATTTATCTAATGGTTTGGCAAGAAGGCAGAGACCTGATTAGCTGTGGAGCCAAGATTAGTACCTGTGCTTTGACAGCAAGTGAGGAAACTTTGCCCTCCTCCTAATCTTGTATAATAGAATAATACAAACAACATGATTGGTTGATATTTGACCATTTTATCATCAAATTAATGTATCTAATTGCTATAGAATTCAGTAGTTGCTGCAGTGTGCTTGCTAATCCTCAGACTAACAATGGCTGATGACTTTGATTTATGAGAAGATGTACACATGGCTACAAAATTCTATTTTTTTCTTTTTTCTCATGAACACAGTAAGATTTTGAGAGATGATGTGCAGGAAACATAATGCAACCAAATAAAATGCATCAAGAAATTTCCAGCACAGTAAAGAGAGCACAGCAAGAAACATGACAAGCTTCAGCTTCTGTTGCAAGGCAAAGATAGAAAGAACATGGAGCTCTCTCTGCATACCAAGCAAAGTTAATTTCAGGTGCAGGAGTTCATAAATGTGACCACAGATCAGTACAGGAAGACGGTGCATTGAGGAGGAAGGAAGGAAGGTGTCAGGGACTCAATAAAAGCCATTAATCTTGGTGTTGCTACAATGGTGTGCCATGTATTCTTCTTACATTGCAATGCCTATCAAGTGGCAATGCTGTTTGTTGTCTGAGCAAGATCTAAGGCACTGTCTTGGCAACATTTTTGTTTGTAGTAAAAAAGAAAACAAAAACAAAAAAAACAATTTATTATCAGTCCTTTTTGAAAAAAACAAAACAAAAAAAAAAGATAGATTGATTGGAAATAAATCTCTTGTGGGATTCTTTCTGCAATCTACACAAGAAAAAGAAAATTAGTGAATTGTTTTTTATGGAAAGCATTTCAGAAAGCAGAATTCCAATGCACTGAAACCTCATCATATCCAAAGGTTAAAAGAAGGACTCCAACCAAAAGAACAATTCTCTTTCTCCAAAAACCAAAAACAAGGAAAGGAAACAACACCATGAGTTGGTCTCCAAAGTTCACAAACAATGATTCTCTTGGACTTTATGTCATTGGTATAGAAGCCCACATTTATGAACACAAATGCATTAAATCAACATCATTTGCTCCTCCTTGGATCCTTCCTTTGGGCATCTGCAAAAGCTTCTTCTTCCATGATTCCATTTCATGCCAGATTTAAAGAATGATGCTCAGAGAGAGAGAGAGAGAGAGAGAGAGAGAGAGAGAGAGAGAAAGAAGAAGGTAAATAAGCTCAAAAGTCACAGTTTGACCATCAAATCTACCTCTTACTCTCTTCTTTTTTGACCTCCCTATCACCAACTAAAGGACAAAAACAAAGCTCCTACTTTTCCCCTACAAAGCAAAGCAAAGCAAAGAAGGATTACGCTCTCTTCGCATTCTTCCAATAGAAGCCATCATATTATTCTTTGGCTCTGCCAAATCGCTACTCAATCGAATAGTGTTGTCGTGTAGCTTCTCTCCATGGCGTCCGCCGACGGCCGCGGTCTCCGGCGGTTCCTGTTCAGGTCCTCCTCGTCGTCCAGGCCCCACGCGGCGGCCGACCGGAACCCCCTGATAGGACCCCCTCCTCATCCTCCTCCTCCTCCTCCCCGGCCGCGTCCGTCTTCGCCGGGCAGGAAGAAGGGGCTCGCGGCGGCGGCCTTCCGCGGGCTCGGCTGCGCGTCGGCTGCGGCCTCGCAGGCCTACGCGCCCGCCGCGGCCGCCGTGAGGTCGTCGGCGGACTGGCAGGGGAAGCGGCCGCGGCGGCGGAGGGCGAAGAAGAAGAAGAAGGAGGGGAGGGGCGCGGTGGGCGGGGACGTCTGGTGCGCCCCCGGGATGCCGTTCGCGGCCGAGGCGTCCGTGGACTGCGTCATGGCGCATCAGCCGATGGTTGGAAGAGGAAGGTTTGATGCCGCCGAGCGGATCCACAGAGAGGTAGTAGTACATCTTGAATTCTTCCCCATCATCACTTCTTCTTCGCGTCGGTGCCGTGAAAGGTCTCATCTCTTCGTTTGATTTCCGGTGTTCTGATACAATTCCCATGGGGGCTTTTCATTGATTTGTATTCTCTGCTTTAACTGCATGTAGAGAACTTTATAGATTCTTTTCCTAATCGTGCCTTTCTTTGGGTGAAAACTGATTCTTTCCGAATCAATCTGTAGTTTTTCTTGTTCTTGTTTGTACTTCAAAGCTCCGATCTCTATGTTCTTGTATGCATTTGGCATTTGACTTATCACCATAGATGGTCTTCTATGGCAGAGGCCTTACATTCCCAGAAGAGTTAGCCATCAAGAACAAATCTCATCGGCCACGGATTCTCCCTCGAATCTTGATACACCGTTCTATGGACCTGGTCTCTTGCCGTTGGGTCATCTTCGCCACTTGCGTGGATATCACCGTACTCCCGGCGGGCTTGAGGAGGTGATGCACCACCCTTTTAGTATGTCAGTATCTCAGGGGTTTATTTATATGGTGGTTTGCAATCTGAACTCATTTTTCTTGAGGTTGCTCTTATGTTTTCTTTATTATGGACATACATTGCTGTCATTGAGTGTGCATTTGATTGCATTCGTTCATGCAATATCTTGGTGGTGTTTGAATCCATGTTTCTTTTGCTATTGATGTTTCTCCAAATGTATGTTTCACATTCTTGAGCTTGTATAGTTTAATTTACTGAATTTTAACTAACGGCATCCGATATTGCTTAGCTCCTAAGCAAGAGGTAGTTTCAATTTCCACTGTCATTTGTTTGTTATCTTTAGTTTTACTGGTGTCTGTTCAAATTGGTCATATCGACTTTTATCAGCTACGATGATGCGAATGTGTTTTGTGTATAATACAGTTTCAGGAAGTTAGTTCATAAGATTAATCTGGTCATGGTTCTTGCGAACATGTTTGCCATAATTTATTTGAAGGTTTTTAGTGCGTAACGCTCCACTAACATAATTCGGAATGCATCCTTTCTTGTTAATGTTCGTGGATATTATTACTTGGTTATATCTCATTGAGGAAGACAATCTCGTAAAGGAGTTGTTTATGTGGTGCAACTAATTTGGAAATTTTCGCATGCATTTTAGTTTGTACATTATAAATTTTTTACAGTACAATGGAAGATGTTAAATGCATGTTCTGATTTAGGATTTAAGTGGAGATGATGTTGTATGCTTTTTGTCTTTGACTGTTGGCGATGGGGCAGGGTTATGCAAGCTAGGTCCACACTTTGCTCAAAATATAAGAGCCGACAAAAAAATTTAGCTGGAGTTTGAGCTCGGAAAATAATAATGGTAAATGTTTAGCTTAAATCACCTGGTAAAGAAATGTGGTTTCAGCATCTAAGCTTTAACAAAATGGTTCGAGTGACAGAGGCGCACAAACTCTAAGCTAGTTAAGGAGACACTGTTAAGAGAGGGTAAATTCATCTTCTTTTTTTTAATATGTAGGAAAAATAAGGACGAGCAACTTAGCAAGTGGTCTATTTGGGCTTTAAAAATATGAGAAACAAAATTGCAGTATTGGTCTTTCAAGTCATGACTCATTTTTTCGCTTGCTAAGTTCAAGTTAAATGGGATTGAAGTGTTCCTCTCACACATCTATGGTATATCAAAGTTCTAACTGCTTGTCCGCATGGAGAGATGAAGACAACAGTGTCTCCCATTGAAGTTACCAATGCTTCTATTGATGTTTCTTCTAGTATCCAATCTTCTCTCTCACAATTGAACATACCATTCGTGGAGAACCTGAAGGATCATGAAGGGCCATAATGATTGTTGTTGAGGCTTACGATATTATCATCTAGAACCCACATGCCAGATCAAGATGAGCAAGATTACTTGTTAAGGAATTAGATTCCAGGTCTTCAGTGGATAAATCCAATGACATTTGGATGAGAAGTCATTGGCAAGTCTCCTGAACATACATTTTGCACCTTGAGGCTTTTTACTTTAAGAAAAGCTTGATCTGAACAATTCTATTTTCGAGAACTAAAGGTCAATTCCATTTTCACATGTGATTTAAAAATTTAGGTTCTTATTCTAATAGTCTTGTACCTTAAAAAGAATTAGGCTCCCATTTTAATCGCAAAAGATGCTTTGTTGGTCATAGTTGGAAGAGACAACACAATTGGAGTTAAACGTTTACTTTTGATATTATATTTTTAGGAAATCAAAATTAATCTAGGATTTACATACTGCACACTAATCCAATGCAATCGATGGCCAAAATGGTATGACATCATGGCGGATTATTTGGGCTTCATTATGCTGTAACACATCCAGAATAATGTTTATGAGTTGATATTATGCATGCCAGTATGGACTGCAGTTCATTGGTCCATGCTGTAGATGTTTGCACACAACATTATGAATGCGACATGGCATGCAACTTACTTTAACCACGATTCAGAACTTTAAACCTCGAGTCGTTTACAATTCACTTGAATGAGACTGTAGTTGAGAAAGTGGTTTTAGCTCCACTAGCGTGACATACTGAAACAACTAAGAGTTTTAAGATTTACTTACAGAATTATGGTTCTGCATGTGTTGTCGATGGATGTAATACTTGAGATAATGATGAAAAGTAATGTCTTTCACCGTATTCAAGTTTTCTTGTACCCTTGAAGATTGGTTATCAACTTGTATAAGATCTCTCACCAGATTTACCTAAATTGCAGATTATGATGTTCCAGACCAGAGTTCTATTACGTGGAGGAATGGAAGTGTATGACCAATTCCGAGATTGGCGACTTGATGTTGATAACATGTCATATGAGGTTGCTAATTGTCTTCTGAAAACAACCTTTTTGCCGGATCTGTAGCATGCTATTCTGAGGACATTGTAATTCCATTTTCCCCTTGTACAGGAACTACTTGAGCTTGGTGACAGAATTGGGCATGTGAACGCAGGACTCAGAGAGGAAGAGATTGCACGTAGTCTCAGGAAAACTAAGCATTCAGTTTTTGATGCTTCGGCAAACCATTTCTCGCCTGAAGTAGAATGGAAATGCAGTATTTGTCAAGTAGGTTCTTTCTGGCTCTGTTCTCGACCGCCTGAAGTTTTGTTTTTTTCCAGCCGTTCCAGATGTTCAGTAATTCATTCATCTCTCTCTCTCTCGATACAGGAAGAATATGAAGGGAACGATGAAACAGGAAGGCTGCAGTGTGGCCATAGCTACCACATGCACTGTATAAAGCAGTGGCTTCTGCTAAAAAACGCATGCCCGGTTTGCAAGACACCTGTTCTTAAAACTTAGTTTGCCGGTCATAGAGCCAAAAAATCTTTCTCTTTATAGCTTTTGGCCGTGATAAACAGTGTATTCATTGATTTTTGTTGTGAATTAAACTTGCTGGTAGAGTTGTGTCATTTCCATCTCTCTTGATCTGCTCAACCATACTTGTGTATGCTTCCAGCATTTAGATCCGTGTGTGCATGTGCAATGCTATAAACTTGGCAATCACCACTTGTATCTGTCTTGCATGTTTCTCTGAGTTTGGATTGAAGAGAGTATTGGCAGAAGAACCCCCAGTGTCATGGAAAACATGTGTATGGAGTATGAACTATGCCAATGACCATGTCAGGGTTGAAATGTCAGATGGCCAGCAACCCTCATTTACTGCAATACACTGATGCAGCATGCAAGATGACTCTTATCAGCTACTCTGTTGGGCAAGCTATCAATGGGAAAGTACATGGACCAGCTCATCTGTTCATAAACTCAACCAAAAGATCCAAAACAAAATCTGCTGCTACTTAATCTTCCCAATAGCCTACATTTATGCTTTGCCAGATGAGTGAATGCATTACATCAGCTGGTTCGACAGCATTCACAATTAATGGATGTCAGTAACCAATCTACAGTGCTCCACCAGCAGCAGCCAAGCAAATTTGCATAGCATCTCAAAGGGACAGATGAAGGATCCCACTTTTGCTCCCATGTTGCAGTGATAATTACATTGGTTTGGGGATTCTTCAAACTATTGCAAGTCAAAATGATTTTTGAGATAGGTGAGAAAAACAAATCAATGGTATTAAGAAAAAAAAAGAAAAAGAAGACAAAAATTGTTGTATGAGATCATTTGGTCAGTTCACTGAAGAACAAAATCTACCCAACAGAAGAATGCTGAAGGCAAGAAATCACTCTCTGTATGCATAAACATAGATGTAAATATAGTTAAATATAAATGAATACATGCATTGTATAGGAATTGGGGGTTTAGACATGTCGGGATTTGGGTCGGGCTAAGATTAGGTTTAGACTTCAATGTTACCTCAACCCAAACTAAAGTTGGGTTGATACATCTCAGCCACAGCCCAACCAAACTTAGCAATGTGGCCCTCAATCCACCCTCGTTCACCTTGGTGGGGCCCTTATGTGGGTCGGTGACGCAGGTAGGTGCACTTCAGAGAAGTAACCTAGAAAGTTCTATTCGATTTCCTGATCCTATTTCATCCCATTTCCACCGCCACGGGGAAGGGAAGGCGGGAGCGGGAGAGAGCGAACAGAGAGGCGATCGTTCCGGTAGCGTCGGCTGTGGATATCGGCAAGGTAATCGACTACAGCAGCAAGAACGTCGCCTCCTCCTCCGCCAGCACTGAGTCCAGCGATGACGGAGAGACCGCGGACTAGGTCGATGCGTGGGACGCCGCGTTCGTCCAGGGCGATCAGGCCGTCTCTCTCTCTCTCTCTCTCTCGATCTTTTCGGGTTTGATTGAAGGTGGTGCTTCTGTTCTGGTTTTCCTTCTTGGTTTTGCAATAGATTTTGGTTCTCTTTCTTTGTACTTGTTGATTTTGGTTCTTTATCATCGCCGAGGTCATCGAATACTGCAACAAGTTAATTCCGGATCGACGAGGTCATCCATCCTCTACGACCTCATATCGGTCCACTCTTTTCCTTTTCACTCTCGTTCTAAGCTTTCTGTGGCGATCGTTCCGGGTTCGATGGAAACTGGTGCTTGAGATTCTGGTTCTTTTTTCTTTGCGTTTTGCGTCTCGACTTTCATTTATTTTCCTCGAGGTTCTTGATTTTGCAACAGATGCCGGTTCCTTTTCCTTGTTCTTGAAGTCGACTTAGGGTTCGTCTTTATGCTTCATGGTTCGATTCAAGGTGTTTGATATGTCGATTCTTTCACCTTAGTTTCGAATTGGATTGATTGTTTTGCTTGATTTGTCGGTTCTGTCTCATCATCCTTCTTGATTTGCATTTTATCATGCATCTTGATTTGCACCAGGTGTTGCTCAATTCTTCTTTGTATTTGTTGGTGTTTCTTCATCTTTATGCTTCTGGAAATCACTGGCGTGTATATATAGTCTCGGGTTAGTCATGTTGGGACTTGGATAGGATTAAGGTTTAGGCTTAAATCGTCGCCCAGCCCAGACCCGGGTTGGATTGGGAATTATCAACCACAACCGAACCTAAGATTATAATTAGGCCGCTGGTCTGTCGCTACCCAGTTTGGTGGGGCCCTCAGTTCCGTGTTGTAGGCAGCGGGTAAAACGGGTGGTCTGCAGGAATGAGTATAAATGGAAAGGGGGTCACGGCCCAACTCCTTACTAAAAAGGTCCATTCGATTTCCTGATTTGGTTTGATTCTCTTCTTCCGCTATTTGGGAATCTCTTTCGTTCTTGGTCCTCTTTGTACATATAGTAATAGAGAGAGGGGAGGAAGGCTATCGAGGGTGGTTTGCGATCCTCTAGAGCGAGCAGAGATCTGGACGGCGGTCGATCTGATGGCGTCGGTGCTATACCACTTCATGGTTATGGATTAAATGCAACGATCACCTCGCCCGCACCAAGTCCGGCGAGGACGGGGTGTTCGCGGACGACAACCTCGTCCGTTGGGACGTCGTGTTTCTTCATGTTGACTGGGTCACCCTTTACGAGCTCATTTTGGTTCGACTCTCTCCCTTTTCAATCACCTTCTGTGCTTGCTCTTTGGTGATCCTCCTATATGACGATCCTCCGAATTGTCCGTTTCCTATGGTTGTTGAATTGTGCGGTAGATGGTTCGGTACAAATTGTTGCTTGATACGTCATGCTTCTTGATTTGCAACTAGATGTCGAAATCTTTGTCTTTATGGTTCTTAATTCTTAGTCTTCTTGATTTTGGGTTATAAGTTGGTTCTTTATCCTTAAGCTTTTTGATCTGCACTACGAGAATAACATTCAAGTTTTTTTTTTTTTCAACAGGAATTGGGCTTTTGACTTTTGTTGGTTGCATTCCGGTTATCTTTTTCCTTTTTTTTGTGCCTACATCTACAATGGTTGATTAGCTGCCTATATATATATATAGATGTGTGTGTGTGTGTATGTATGTATATATATATAAATATAT